TCAATGGCGATTATCACAAGTTGGTAACAGTCTTTTTTTCTCCATTCAAATCTATCGTGAAAGATTGGTAACAATATTCTAGGCGAGGCAGCTACTCTTGGGCAGTGTCCCGCGATCAATTTCGATTCTTTTACCCACATCGTAATGGAAAATTTACGTAATTTGCCACTAGAGAGAACAGCAATGATTCTTGAGATTTGGCAACACTGTTTTTCGTTCATTAAAGTGTATCGTTTTATTTTTATGTAAAAGATTCGACTTTTAGTGAGGCAGCTTATATCTCCCAAAATCGATACTTTTAATGGATTTAATTGAGAAAAAACAGTGTTGTCAACGAGGAAAATCGACTGACGAGACACAACGAGACGACAACGACTGAAAGAGAGCAATAAGTGCACAATTCCCGTTTGCGCAAAGACTTAAGATCATTCCTCAAGATGTTTCAAAGAACAAGAATTCCAAAAGTCACAAAAAACGTATCTTTTGCTGTATAGATGCAAACCTTCGCTAATGTTGATTTTACCCCTTATTTTTTAAAAAAGAGAGGTAACTAACAATTTTGCTGTATTTTTCTTCCTTAAAAAAAAAATACCGACAAAAGATTTCAATGAGTAATTATGGTCATCTTTTCTATATTAAAAAAAAAAAAAGAATAAATATAAAAATGTTTGATCGGAGACTTTAGGTTGCAACGGAGTTTGAAGCATTCTTCTACTTCGGACATCGATACAGAATGAAAAAAACTGGGGTTGGTAAAATACACGGATAGAGGAGGACAAAGTTTTGACCCATCAAATGAGAAGATATGAGGGGGCTACTGGGGCTAGGGAGTTAGGGGCTACAAGAACCAGGAGGACAAACGGCATTGCGACGTTGCAAAGTTTCACCTTTGGCACCTTTCACCTTTTTTTCATTCCTGCGCGCACTAAGTATTTTCGAGCGAAAATTTGAGAAAAGTTTTCTCAGATCGAGAACTAAGAGCATTCCAATGTCGCTAACCTTGCAAACATAAACGATCATCTAAACTAGTTTCACCTCTACTCCCAATAAACTATGAATTCAAGACGAAAATTACCGTCGCAAAGTTTACTTTTTGCAAAGAATGTACCTAAGTTGCACAATCCTAGCAGCATTGAAATGCTCTTACAATTAGTTCCTTTTTGCAAAATGCGATCCAATTGGTTGTTGCTGCAAAAAAATAGTTTCCCACAACCTGCTATACAATGCTCCAGTGACCATGTAAGTTGGCCCGAGCGAGCACTAACTTTTCGGGAAGAAAGCCTTTCCCCTACTTGGTTTCTCACTCAATATCCGCCCGAGTTTCGCATATCTTCCGTTTCTCCTCATCGCAGCTTCCATCAAACCGCATTTGCCCGGGAACTAGGACCGCACATCTTATCTGATAAAATCGTTCGCCTTTCAGACCGATTCTAGGGGGTTAGCCTAGACTAGTCGATGAGTCAACTGTTGATCTAATTTCATTACGTGAACGTAGAAGAAAAACGGGGTAAAAAATCACTAATGTGTGATCAATTTTCAAGGACAATTCTGTAATTTCTCCTACGATTTTAAATCGATTAAAACGCGTAATATCCAAAATCTAAGCTCAGATTCAGATTCCTCGTGAAAAACTGATGCGATTTCATGCATCAAATTTTAGAATAGCGTGAAGAGGTTTACCTAATGACGTAAAAAAACACTAATGTGTGATCAATTTTCAAGGACAATTCTTTCAATTCTCCTACGATTTTAAATAGATTAAAACGTGTAATATCGAAAATCTAAGCTCAGATTCGGATTCCTCGTGAAAAATTGACGAGATTTTATGTAGCATATGTTAGAATAGCGTGAAGGAAAGAGGTTTAATGGCGTAAAAAAACACTATGTGTGATCAATTTTCAAGGACAATTCTGTAAATTCTCCTACGATTTCAAGTAGATTAAAGCGCGTAATATCCAAAATTTAAGCTCAGATTCGGATTCCTCGTGAAAAATTGATGAGATTTCATGTATCATATGTTAAAATAGCGTGAAGGAAAAAGGTTTAACAACGCGTGTAGATTCTGTCATACTTTCCCTTTGAACTACGCCGCCGCGGCGCTTAGCGTTCGGTTTCGTCCCGAGGAATTCCTCACGATAAATTCTTATTCTTCCTCCTCCGCTGACCCACTGAGCACTACCCATGTTGCCGCGTTGCATTCATATGCTCGAATCAGTATGTCTACGTTACGTCTCTTTCCTTCACGCTATGCTCGGGTATGATACATGAAATTGCATCGATTTTTAACAAGGAATCTGAATTTGACCTTCGATTTTGGGTATCACGCCTTTTAAGTCCAATTTTTTAAACTCAAAAATCAGAAATGACGGATGTGGCTTAAAATGCCATCTCGGCTCCTGTTCGAAGGATTTTCCTGAAATTCGGTGTCAGGGTATGATACATGAAATCGCATCGATTTTTTTACGAGGAATCCGAATCTAAACTTCGATTTTGGGTATCACGCGTTTTAAGTAAAAATTTTCAACTTCAAAAATCCGAAATGACTGAAGTGGCTTAAAATGCCATCTCGGCTCCTGTTCGATAGGTATTTTTTGAAATTCGGTGTCAGGAGGTATTTTTCGACAGGAAACTCGAATTTTTAGTCCATTTTTTAAAATTCTCAAATTCAAGATGGCGGACGTGGGCTAAAATGCTATCTCGGTTTCTGTTTGTTCGAGTCTTGTGAAACGTGGTATCACACGGTATTTTTCAACGGAAAACTCGAATTTTTAGTCAACTTTTTAAATTTCTTAACTCCAAAATGTTATATGTGGCCTAAAATGAGCCCCGGTTCTGGCCTCCGTTTCTGTTCGTTAGAGCTTTGTGAACCGCGGGATCAGGGGTACTTTTCGACAGGAAACTCGAATTTTTAGTCGATTTTTGAAAATTCTCAAATCCAAGATGGCGGACGTGGCCTAAAATGCTATGTCGGCTCCTGTTCGATGGATTTATGGCGCCCTCTTACTACATGCCTACTCTTGTATTTCTGTACAGTCGCAATTTTAGGGTCAAGGGGCGCCTGACCGTCTATAGATCAGTGGAGTTTTTGTCCTGAAAATTTACCTTTAGACGGCAATTCTCTTTATCTTTTGTCTATGGTTTTTATGCCCCCCTTTCTCGCGGACTCTCTTTTCACTTTTCTTGCCTCCTTTTTCCTTCCATTTCCCCCCTTCTTCCTTGCTTTCACTGCCCAACCTTGTTTCCTTTTCCTTTTTTTCCCTTGTCCTTTCTTCCCCTTTTTTCCTTTTCATTTCCTTTTCATTTTCCCCCTTTTTTCCCCTCTCTTCTTCTTTCGTGGCGCCCCCCAAAGGCTGGTGCCCGTGTGCGCCGCACGCCCTGCACACGCTCTAAGTCCGGGCCTGTCGAGAAGAGAATGCACCCAAAATAGAGGAAAATTTCAACCCTTCTGAAGTAAATACATGAATTTATTGTATTTATTGTTTTTATTTATTTATTTATTTATTTATTTATTTATTTATTTATCTATTTATTTATTTATTTATTTATTTATTTATTTATTTATCTATTTATTTATTTTTTATTTATTTATTTATTTATTTATTTATTTGAATTTATGGTAAATTTATTGCGACATTGAAAAGTGATGTAGCCCCTCTAGCCTTCAAAAGTAATGCTCGAGGAGCTTCTCACCAAAAAATTCGAGTCCTGCTATTTTTTGAAAAATATTGTTTCCTATCTAAAAGCACGGCAATAATGTCGTGTGTTACCATGTTTCATAAATCAGTTTAGTGTGACAGCGGTCGTCGATCTGATGCGATGCGAAAACAAGAAATTAGATTATTGGTGTTTCACACGTTGCATAACCTCCGTCACTTGAAATCACTTGGGTGCGATAGTCTGTTTCTTATCAAACAGAAGCAGGTCGGTCCATGTGAAATTTCACCTGAGACTGTTTCCAAGAATTTTGAGGATGACCTTTCACCCCAGCGTCTCTGAATAAGAATTGTACAATAATTGCCATTCATTACCCGTATGGACAGGCTTTATAGTAACCTTGCAGATTTGCGAGAAAAAATGAAAATTCATCGCAATATAGTGCTGATTAACCACAAATAAAACGCAGATAAAGCGTTGAAAGTTATTTAATGAGATTACAAAAACTTAAAGTGTATTTTTACAGGTCCAAGGAGATTGTATTTAATTCAAATCGAGCAGGGATTATATATTCCTAACTGTTATCACAGCTTCGCAATGAGCCAAAAATATTAAATAACTTCAGGTGAATTTACGATGGAAGGAAGCAAGCTCAAACATATTGAAGAAGTTTCGTAAAACATGGTTTCACCTTCTTACGGCAAAAAACTTACAAGGTTCGGGGATACGCGTGTTTGAAACTAAGTGAGAGATATGTGTTAACATTTTTCGTGGGTTTTAAGCGACTTCACGACTTTTTTCGGTCGTAGTTCCTTAGAGGCAGATACTATGTATCTCCTAGTATACATTCATGCAGCCAACTCAAAATCGCCATTTATCGCGATCACTGCTACTTCCCAAGTAGCACAGGTTGCAATAAGTAACAGTTACATAGTAAAAACCAATACCACCGACAATGAGTGTTGTGCATGTTGCCTACCTCCTATTTGAAGGGGCCCCATTTATTGAAACTTATTGCAATAAAATTGAAATAAGTTTCAATTTCTCATAGCATTGCATATTGCCTATCTCTTTGACACAAGGATATTTTTGATTGTTTAAAATCGGCAAAAAACGACTGAATGATGTAAAAAGATTGCAATTCAATAGTAAGCCCTGGATAGACGATCGAATTCCGAACCAATTCCGATCAAAGTAGACATGCTGATGACTGGTGGTCACCATCTACCATCAAATTTTGACGGGCCGCACTTTTTTGTTCAAAGGAAGATCAGAACGGAGTGCCACCATTCATCATTTCCTGCCACAGGAAACATTTCTGCCAAGTTTTCATTCATAAATGAAGCAAATTAATGAGTTTGAGACTGATGACTCCCGACACTTTGATGCTATTTTGATCGGAATTGATTCGGGAATTCGATCGTCTATGCAGGGCTTTCAAGACATTACAATTTATTAAAATCGAATTGCAATTTAATTTCGATATTTTCGTCGCACTGTGCTACTTTGGTTGGGTTCGCGCTCCTTAGTATTGCACTGCTGCAACCCACTCATCATCTTGAGCGAGATGTTTTAGCTCTGTCTGTAGGCCGGGAAATCTGCATACCATCCGAAGGCGCCGTTGTGCCCCGTGTGGGCGCCGAACTCGACGTACTCGTCCTTGGCGTGGCCGTGGGCTTGTCGTTCAGGGCGGCCGGGGTCAAACCTGGGGCCGGGAAGTTGTCGGACGCGAGCCTGGGGTTCGGCCGTTCGGGGCAGCCGAGGGGCCGCCCTGAAGATCCCGTGTCCCTGATCGCTTACTCGCACCGGGCGCGCGTGGTCCCAGGGGACGGCAAGGTACTGCGCCACGCTCGCCGCCAGGATGCTCCACAAAATAGCGGTGCAGAGCTGAGAACAGATACCAGAACCAGCTATCAATCAACGAAAAAGTTTAAAAACGAATCAAAGTAAGAAAATACAAGTGGAAGAATCCGGTATCCCGGAATGGAGAATTTGCATGCAAATTTTGTATTGCTTCGTCTGAAAGTGCCTGAAGAGCTGATTTCACAGTATATTTTATAATTTTTTTCTGATATGGGAAATAGTATAAAAGTAGATTTAGAATAGAGAATTTGCAAGTGTCTGAAATTTGATGAATTTCGTGTCTAACTGGAAGGTAGTAAGTGAACTGAACGCGAGGATACCCTTGGTTCATGAATGGAACAATTATTGGAGAGGATATGACAAAATGATCTAATCTGCTAGAATACATGTGTTTAAATGGGAAATTCCGCTAGATGACGCCACTAGGCCGTACATTTTATCACTTTTAAATCCATTTTTATACCATTTCCCATATCAGAAAACGATTATGGAAAATACTGAAAAATCAGCTCTCTAAGCACTTTCAGATGAAGCAATAAAAAATTTGCATGCAAATTCTCCATTGAGAAAATGCATCGCCTAGTGACGTCATCAGGCTGCATTTCCTATTTAAACACATGTATTTTAGCAGATTACATTTAGGTGCATTCCATTGATTCCTGTTGAATGCCGTTTCCGTCTTTTTTACTCGCCGCACTTGGCTGGCTCGCTCAGATTTCCCGCCGCGCGCTGCTCGTTTAGTGCAACAGCCAATCAGCGTTACGGGCGGGAATGTACGCGATTGGTGGAACTCTCGTTGACCGGAAGGCGGGAAAAATTTAAATGTTATGAAATATTTCACGAATTTTGACGGGGATCACGAGACACAAAGCTGCGTTTATGAGAACTGTGAACAAATGATTTCAGGAGATGGTCACACGACTAGCATCCAAGAGATCGGAATAATGTTGCATAAATCATCGATGGTGAAAGTTGTGAAACACAGTGCTCCCAAATCTCCGCTGCTATTCTGCCGTACTAAGGAAGAACGCCGTATGAACATTCGAGTATTTGCCAAATTTCCTCCGATAAAATGTTTATTTTTGAGGCAAGTTATGAATATTTTTCCTTGAAATTTTCAGGAACTTTAGGTGAACTTGCGATCAAAATTATCTGAAAAAGTAGAGGGAAAATATTCCTCAGTTTACCAGGAAATTTGTGTTTTATCAAAGGACATTTGGCAACGCCTGAAGGTTCATACGGCGTCTTTCCTTAGCACGGCAGCATTGCTTGTACTTTTTTTCTGCAGAGACACTAATGAAATTTAACACGGGAATTTTTACAAAAATTCTACAAGGAATAAAAAAGATACGGTAAAAATTTAAAAAAAATAATAATGTTATCGATCCTCCTTAAAATGTGACAAGAAATGTGGAAATTCGTAAGTCGAGAATTCGATATGCGCGTTTCACTTCTTTCACTATCGATGACTCGATTGCGTTGTTTCAAAATATTCGTTTCTTACCGATTTTTCCCAAAGAATATTAACCTTCAAGTACCAATGTTATATTTTGGTTTTGTAAAAATTAACCATAATTTTTTCCTGAGCCAAAGAGGAAACGATCTATGACTCGGAATGTTACCTAAATTTTACCACTCATACAATTGTTCAAGCGTACTTCCAGTCGCGTATGCAGAATTAGGTTGGGGGGGGGGGGGCCC